TATTATGATAATATATCTGTCATGAAAGCTAAAATGTTCTAAAAATCTGGGCGTAAAGTGATTAAAGCACGTTTTAGTCTTCGTAAATTGCTTTCACTTTTAATTAATGTAGTATTTCTAAATTAAAATTATAGTCTGATTCATTACGATCAGCAACTACACCAGATTATGCGCCGGTCTTCTAGAAAGAGTAACGAAGGTTCGCTCAACGCAGGTGCCGTATAAACCACAGGTAGACACTGTAGATTGAGCGCACGTCTGTAATAGGTATTTTCCAGTTGCCCGGTAGACTGGTGTACTAGGAAACGATCAGTAATAGGGATTTTCTGAGCATAGTTTTGATGTGGAACAAAACCGAATGTATGGGGCGCCCAGTGAGGTTCATTCTCACTACTCATTCTGAATGTCTAAAACAACTTTCCAAGTGTTACTTATATGTGAGATAAGGCCGAAAATTCGGATTGAAATCGCTACTTAGTTCTGATTGATCTAGCTAGACAAGCTTGCTAACCATTACAAAACGCGCTCTTAACAGCCAGTACATTAATACGTGGTTTGACTGATTATGATTTATTCATTAATTTAAATCTCTGTCAAGAATACTATCTTTCAAGCATACAGAGTAACTTGCTTCAGTGGATTAAGATATGTGCCTTGTTATACTATGAGACGTGCCCATGTATCTTGTTTTGAGATTAAAACAGTCTTTGCAAAGTTTTTTTCAAATGCATTTATATTCTACATATATATTTTAGGTCACTTCTCTTTTTAATTCTCTCTTTCTCAGAGATCTTAAAGGAAACAGGATCCAGAAAATTTTGCCATATGCATTCAAAGGACTATCCAGCCTCAGTACGCTGTAAGTAAAAAAAAAGTCTGCTTTTCTATATGGTTCAATGTATGTATTTACAACTGATCCTTACAATGATGCGTTGCAATGGCTGATTTTTACATTCTTGTTAAAATAATTAATCTCCACTCACACACACACATATAAATATATATATATATATATGGCTTATTGTTGAAGCTTGAATAAGCATGGAATAATAATAATACAACACAACATGTACGTAACAAAATGTATTGAAACAATGAAAAAAGGTACACAATATTTACAGGTAGTTTTGGTATATTCTTGGGAAGACTGTTCCTGCAGAATGGGTTGACTAAGTCGCAGTCGGGCAGAGTCTCTCGATTCGATCTCTTAATCTTCCGTCGTCTTCCGGTACCAACCCATATTTATATGGTCGGTACTCCACTTATGTAAATTAGGTGTATCATACACAACACTTATATATATATATATATATATATATATATATATATATATATATAGACCAGACGAGTTGCAATGTGCTATGCGCATTATGAGAACAGTTGCAGCTGACAGATTGAACACATGTCAATAGCGGATCCCTGAATCACCGCGGAAAGCCGTATAATAATCCCATAATGATTCTCGGCTAAAAACATCATTGATGCCAAACCGATGTATTTCACGAATGAAAATATGTGTGCGTGCGTGCAAGTTTCGTTGAAAATGACAGACAAGTGTGGTGGTTGATTTTGTTTTTTTTGTATAATTTCTCATGTGTTCGTCTATTTTTTTCTTTTCAGGACATAAATTATTTAAATAAAAATTTCCGAATCTTTTCCAAGCGCTTTGGGCTATACATTTAACCATTATCAAGGACGAATTTTATTTTACTTTTAACTTTACATTGCACTGTTTTATGCATGTATCTATAAACCAATGCATATATTCAGTTAAACGTAAAATGAAATGTATCTTTGACAATGGCTAAAACTATAATCGAAAGCGCTTGGAAATCATTCGGACAATTTTTATATAACTTATGTCCTGAAAAGAAAAATATTATACGAACACATGAGAAATTATATACAGAAACTCAACACCCACACCTTATTAATCCCTCTCAATAAAACTTGCATAAAAGATAGATTGCTGCCCAACTACACAATTATTAAATTACATGACCCGTCAGCCAATGAAAGTAACACTATAACATTCAGAAAAAATCCTTGTTTTACGACAAATAACAACAGCTAAAAATGAAATCCAACATTTAAATAATGAAATGCAAAAACAATCCAGGATTCGCAAAATACTAAAACAATAAAAAAACGGTTAAATCCATAAGCTGATGTTATTCAAAACATATAACACATAAATTAATCCCAATCAAAAATAATATATATATATATATATATATATATATATATATAATCATCTACTCACTTTTTGCTTATTAGACGTTGAAATGTATCACCTCATGTCCATGAACATGTCTGTCTCTGCTCTTATGTATAAATACTTGCTACAAAATAAAATCCTTACATTTGCCTAGATAAAGGCCCTCAGAGGACGAAGAGCATCGGCTAAGTTTTCCGTTTATCTTTATTCATACACACACACACACACACACACACACACACACACACACACACATATATATATATATATATATATATATATATATATATATATATATATATGGGTAATTGAATTTGACTATGGAAGTCCTCTGCGACTGAACAGTCTAAGAGCATGCCAAGCTTTACGGTGGTTTTCCCTACAAAACGACGCAAGTTAGAACACTGCCAGAAGGACTCTCGAATGTACGGGCCGCTAGACAGATTTGCATGTTTTAAAATACACTGTTGTCTACTCAATCATATAGTTCCACTTAACATTTAGATTATTACTATATAAATACAATTAGGTTACAGTATATAACTAATATTAAAACTGTATCTCCTTTAACTCGCCTCTTCGATCGAATTAGGGGCGAAATATATTTTTTCATATATAAAAAAGTAGCCAGCATCTTGTTGAGGCGACTTGGCCAACGAAGAATTGTATCTTCAAAAATAAGCTACCAGATATCCCAGAAAACCAAAGTTAGCATTATGCCCAAGCAATAATGAAGCTAAGACGGAAGGGGCTACTGAATACGAAATAATATAAGGGCATCATTAAAAGAAAGAAGAAATAAAGAACAGGAACACAGAAATTTTACATCAAACTTGATCTGAAATCAAAAGACCAAAAGAGTTCAACAAGCGAAAAATTCGAGAGAAGAAACTGTTAGCATAGAACTTACGGTTACATCTATCTATTTCAGTTGTATAACAGTTAGACCTCGCTGCCAATCTATTACGGCGCTTAAATTCGTGAAGTCTAGGTACCAAATAGAATTGCTCATAAGAACAATTACCCAGAAAATATTTGTAGAAAAGTCACAAGGCCTTCTACAGGGTGAAGCTTACTGTACAAAAATGATTTTGGGTGTGATACATCGAATTCCTCAAGTTATTCGCGATATTTCTGTCTCTTAAGGCTTCTGTTTCATGTGATTAAACAAATAATTTTTGGAAGGTGTCAGTTCTGAAAACCCCATGGTACGTGTAAAAACTTCTGCTGCGCCTTATTTGCAACATGTCTTGCGGCAAAATAAGTTTTATCTTGCTTATACCAAGTGAAAATAAAATATTCTCATTGAATCCTACCGAATGCAGACCAGAATATTTTTTCCCCATTATTATTAGATTCTATTTAGCCTGAAACGTTAAAGCCTCCCATCCATCTCGATCAATTGTCTTTCTCTTACAGGCTCGTGATACATGAATCTTTCAATGTTAGCTATTATCTTGTCCAGAAATTCTTCTTTTCATTCTGTACATTGTCCTCATTTTGGTGTTTGTTATGACAAGGTGCCAGCTTTATTGTCTTCGGCCTTAGTCAGGTGTATGTTTATCCGGATAACCTAGAGCCAATTTTGAAATGAAACCATCACGAGGGCAGATTGTTCTCGCCCCAGTGTCTATATCTAGAGATATCTCGTCTAGTCCTTATTTTAGTAATGTCCATTTATTTCTCAGCCTGCTTCCACAGAGTCCAAATACGCACTGCACAGCTCAGGGATTGAACTCACAATGACTCTGTCACCACATTCACTAAGCTTTTATACCAGCATTTCCTTAAGTGCACGTATCATTTTTCCGAGATTTTGTCGTTGTTTTTTTTATTTAATCCGGGGATATCATGAACTTTTCATCAAACTGGATCTGATGGTCATTTCTTTTCAGATAAATGATGACAAACATCAAACTAACTCAGCAAATGAAACGGCACAATGTAATCTTTGCCTTAAAGGCGGGTGATAGTGATTTAAAGATTGCTCGCTTCCAGAAAATTGCTCGGTCGTTTGTTGCCAACGTTCGCAAAGACCTGGAATCCGCTGACGGAGATCCTACAGCAGGGGTCAAACGTAAAACACCTGCTAAGAGTACTAATACCGTTAGTACACATTCATTTGTACGGGAGGTGCATAAAAATATCGATAAGAACCCCAGAAAAATCAATTAACATCATTGCTAAGGAGCTCAAGCATTCAAGGCATTTTATCGGGAGAATCGTCCATAAGGACCAATGATACAAGTCATATGTGATGAGTAGAAACCAATTCATGTCTTCAAAGACTAACGATAACCTTCTGATCTGCGTAAAGTCTCTAGTTGTGCATTTTAAATATCAAGAGCCTGAAATGCTTTGTTTTTCTTTGATGAGTAAACATAAACCAAACTAATGACAGATGGGTTTTGCAGAGACCCTAAAGACGTTCCATCGGTCATGAACACAAGTTTTCCAGTAACTGTTTTCTTTCTGAGAGTCCTGAAGACAGAAGATGATGATTGACAGTGCATTTGAATTTTTGAAAGTCAAAGTTGACTAGAAAGTAAGAAGTCGGAAGAGAGTTCCACAAGCGGGAGAGGAAACTAACGGTTATATCATCAATTTCCATAGTGGAATTATGAGACCTAACTGCCAAACTAGTGCTGCGGTTAAATTCGCTAGTTCAAGGTACCAAATACGTAAGTACCATAAGAAATATTTATAGAAAGCGGTGGGAAATAAGCCGAGATGCTAAATCAGAACTGATAACATTGCATATTCTTCTTTTGATATTATCAATAATCTCGAAATACATAGCATTAGGTATATCCCACATGTGACAGTAATAGACAATGCGTAGGCTTATGGCAGACTTATAAATGTGTGAGAGAAATTCTTGCGAGAAAAGATTGTCTATTATGGCGCAAAGAATATTCTTTCCTAGCAGCAGACCTAACAAGTGATTCAATATAATCGTTGCTCTTCATGTCAATACATTATCTCGTAAACATATATTTTTGAACATCCGCGAATGAGTTTTGTTTTCATCACTAGATATATAGCGACAAGATGTCTTCTATACGAAGATTATGGCAATTTTATTTCCAATTTCTGCAGTTATAACGTGGCTAAGAGGACATTTCTGCCAAATTCTAGAGCCTTGTCTTCATTAATCTAACACTTGCCTTTGTCTTCGCTAATTTAGTAAGTCGACCACACAAGAAAAATACTTGTTCTAGCTTATTAGGTATGGGCTTGAGTCAACCTGAAAACGATCGATAGACAAGGGTGTTAAGACGTTTGACTTCAAACCTCTTTAATGAAATCAGAGATAGAAAAAATCAAATGATTCTACTGTCATACTGTCGACTTTATGCCTGAAAATTTGAAGACGGTTTAATTAGATAAACGTGTTTCGATCCTGACGTCTAATTTCCAGTACTTGATTAAGGTACAGTATAAGGTTGATTAAATGAATACAATGAAATTCTGAAAGTGTTACGGCTCGACCATTTTCCCAAAACTAAACAAGGATAAGTAATTTTTGAACCACCAATTGAGTTTGTTCTGACATTTTCACCATATAGATAGATAGATAGATAGATAGATATTATGTATTTTTCTTAACCGGTAGAACAATTTTGAGCTTCATACGCGCACAACGCAGTCGTCAGTTAAATTCGCTAGTTCAAGGTACCAAATACATAAGTTGATCAGAACAATTTACCATAAGAAATATTTATAGTCAGCACCTGACAATTACATATTGGAGTAGGTGTTCCGTTTATTTTTTAAACAGTAGATTTATTTGTGTCTACCGGACTTATTCGATAAATCTTATTAGGGAAAAAGATGCATCCCCTGGCAGCATGCAAAGGGGTACGCGGGTTCGTGATAAAAATCTGTCGGATTAAAGAATAAAACAGTCAATTACTTCTTTAGAAACACACACACACACACACACACACATATATATATATATATATATATATATATATATATATATATATTAATTAAGTTACGAAGAACTTGGTAAACCGAATGGGTAATTCCAAGGAGGATGAAATCCTGAGAGCTCTGCGATGCTATTTACCCATAGTAATGGAGATGGATGTGATGGATTCATTCCTTTCCGAAGGGTATTAGCACGTAGGTGAATAAACTTGAACTCCGCTCTCCCATTACTTCTTACTGCTTATGAGAAGATCAATCTAGATCGTATATGGCTATAAAGAGATGGTAGTCTCATGGTTGTAAAAAAATTCGCGAAAATCAAGGTAAATAAACTAAGAATGATTCATAGGGAATTTAAAAGTTTAGATCTTAAACCTAAAATAAGCACCAATATTAAACGAGCTGATTTTCTCGGTGTTACGTTAGATCTCGTCTGTGATAAAGTTCAGCCTTTTATGAAAAATTATACAAAATCCAATCTACATTCACCCAGTTCCAATCACCCCCACCTGTAATCTGACATATTCCATCCTCTGTAGAACATATGATCAGCAACCACTCATCGGATAAATATGTGTTTGAAAAACATAGCAGTTTGCATAATAAAGTTCTTAAGGATAGCGTGTATAAGTGCGCTGAAATTCAGTTTAGAGAATATGATGATAATAATTCAAAGCGAAGAAATCGAAATAGAAATATCATCTGGTACACACCTCCATTTGATCAATTAGTAAGTAGTAAATTAGACCATAAGTTTCTCACATTAATCGATAAGCATTTTCCGAAAAGCAACCCTCTTAGTAAAATATTCAATAGGAATATATTAAAACATAGTTATATTTGCACTAATAATCATGAGAAAATCATAAAGTTGCAGAACATTAGAAATATATACCAATTTAATAAATTTAATCATAACGCAAGCACAAATGAAAATATTGTTATGGACAGTGACCAATGTAATTGTAGGAATCCTAACCAGTGCCCATTATCTAAAAAAATATTTAACAGAATTCCTTGTGTATATGTGTTCTTATTCTTCAATAGAAAATCCAAAGTTTCAAAAGTTTTATATTGGTAGTACTAAGAATACTTTTACTAATATTACTTCTAGAAATAGTACTTCACTTTCAAAATATTTTTTGAAAATGAAAATAAAACTCCTAACGTTATATGGAAAAATTTAAAACTGGCAAGAACCTGTAGATTCTTATACGAACCTTGTTTTCTCTGTTTACAGGAGAAAATGCAGATTATCAGGTTTTTAAATAGGGATGATTATTAAATCAACGAGTTGAATTAACAGTTAATTGCAAGCATATTTTACCTTACATATTATGCCGTTTGTCAAAAGCGTTGCTAAACCACGTTTCCTGTCTCCATGGGAAGAGCCAGTGTGTTATGGGGACAATGTAGCAAACTTAAATGTACTGAATATAACGTCTATGCTGTCCACGATCTTAAACCTGGGGGTTTTGAACTCTTACTAAACGTAGACCATTTTGAGTGGTGAATCTGATTATAAACAAAACAAATTTCGTTGCTATCTCCTCCCGTTTCTTTCATGCATTTTCCTTATTCCTCCTTTTCTCTGGAAAAGAGAATGTATCTTGAATTTTTCTTTCTTACTCTTTTTCTTTTCTTTTTTTTTTCGCGTAAAAAAGATTATATGTGGTTTTAAATTTGAAATTTCAATACATAGTCTACTAATCAGTCATTTACTAGTGCCTGATGAAATGTGTTTGTACACATCGAAATATGAATGCACTTATGTAACGTTTTTATTCTCATGTTGATGTAATTATCCAAAAATAAAGTGTATATGCATACATACATATACATATATATATATATATATATATATATATATATATATATATATAAAAACTGTGTGTGCAAAACTGAACACTGAGGACAGAAACAATCGCGGACAGTCTGTTTCATGTTTGAACGCAATATTTTGACCATCTGTGTTTCGGCTCGACTATATATCTATTGGTCAATGGTACATTATGGGTAATAATGTCTATTGTTCTATTCTAATGGTTATTACGCGGTAACGGTTATGTTTCAAATAATTCTGCAGCCGATTGAGTGGGAATAATTTTGGATGCTGTTATTTGTATCTATTTTGTTAATGTTATTTATTATTGATTACTTTATTTGTTCTTGTTTAATATTATTATTACATTTACTTGTGTGCGTGTATGTGTGTGTCCATTTGCTTATTTATTTATTCAGATTTTTGTCTATTTTTTATTACTTATTTATTTATTAATTTATTTTTCTTCTTTATATCTCTTTTATGTTTCTTTTAAGGTATTGGCTTTTTCGGAAGTATGTTGTATTATCTGCGTTGAATTTCGTGTATATATTTGCGATTATCATTGTGGTATTTTATATACGAATCGTTTTTAGTTTTTAATTTTTAAGTACCGTAGTGAAAATTTGTATTGGACGGTTCAGCTTTGATTAGAGGATACAAGGTGATTTATGAGTCTATTTTATTTTAACCTAGCTAATGGATGTAAGGTCATTTTTATACGATATCTCTCTGCCGGAGATTTAAATTATCTGGTGAATGTGGAATCATCGTATTCGTTAATTTAATAAATGAGCTGCTCCTCCTTGAAGAATATAGACTTGCTCCCGAACCATTCCAGTGGAATCCTTATGAACATACTCAACGGAATATCATTATGTTCATTAATAGTAAATAAAAACCGTCATTGGATGTTTATTTGCAGTGAAACCTAAAGAATTTTACACTCATGGGATTAACAATCTGCTAAATATATAATTGATTGCTTGATTCGTTTTCTACGGCTTATCAAAACTTTGCAGGTTATTTAAAGCCGGGAAACATTACTTAGATTTTAAGTCTTTAGTGATACGAGTCTTACTAATTAACCCATAAGAGGGGAGAAGATATGGATTCATACATTTCCCAAAGGTATTTGCACGTAAGTGAATATAACAAACCCAACTAGAATTAGAACTCGACTCTGATTAACAGTTATTAGCAATTATCCATTGCACCACCTGCACATTCAAGATTACAACACCTGGTATTTCGAAGCGGTCACCCCTCTATGGACTGACCATATTCGATGTTGCGTAACTTTGGTGATAGTACGAGAACCTGTTTTTCAACGCGTTATGACCTTAAGTCAAACCACCTGCAGATCGAGCATACAGCACCTGGAATTCCCAAGCGGCCACCCATCTAGGCACTGACCGGGATTAACGTTGCTTAACTTCTATGATCTTACGGGTACTAGGTTTTCAATGTGATATGGCCATAAGCCTCCAAATAGATGGATTATGTTAATATCTTCGCATTACTCATCTCGACGTGATGGCTGATAATCACCCTGAAATCATCCCGATCCCAAGCATGACAATTAATATAGAGCATCACCCGGATATACAATTTCGTTGCCACTTGATCTGCAACAACCCTCCATCCACTCCTTTACATCTCGTTCCCCGTAGATCAAAGTGGATGCTGCTTAGACGACTGAACCATCTGCTAGTCCATCAAGCACAAGTACTGGCGGTCGAGATAAAACCACATCTTCTCATTCTGGTAATTAATTAGTATTTCCAGCAATTAATTAGTAAAATTCGTATAACTAAACCATTATTATCCCAATAAAACATTCTTATTATCTCAGCAACACATTCTTACATTCTAAAGATACTCTCTGGATTTAAATGAAAGGAGTTGATAAGCCGTAGAAAACGAATCAAACAAACTTTTTTCCTATTTTACGTGGGTGTCCATAATATCAGAAAGTACTTCACTGATACATTCTTTTCATCTTGAAATAAGTCAAATCATATTATTTTGTAATCAATAGTTATTACTATTAATTTAAAATATCAAATATATTACTAGACTGTCGCTACTTGAGTTTCAGCCCTTTATAGAGACCCTGAAGTTGATATATATATTTATTCTACTCAGTCAATAATTACTGAATATTTCCTCATAAAGGAACGGTTAATACGACTGTTACCATTACCATACTAATATTGACCTAATTTGACACACCACTCGCACATCTGAGCTTATTGCACATGGTGTAACCAAATGGTCGCCCACAGAGGTACTGACCAGATTTGACGTTGCTTAACTTCGTTTATCGTACTAGAATATGTGTTTCAATCTGATATAGCGATAAGCCATACGACCCCTGCACAAAGGAGATTACTGTACCTGGTTTTCCTAAGCGGTCACTTAGGCACTAACCAGGTTCGACGTTGCTTAACTTCGGTGATGCTACGAGAACCTTTGTTTCAAGCTGATATGGTTATAATCCATAACACCCCTGCACATCTGAGATTATAGCACCTGGTTTTCCCTAGTGGCCATACATCTAGACATTAACCAGGTACGATGTTGGCTAAATTTGGTGATCGTACGGGAACCGGTGTTTCAACGTGATATGTCCGGAAGTTGTTAAATTGATGGAAATTATGTTATGGATGATGAGCAGAAATATTACTTCGATTGAATATATTAATTAAAACCCAATAAGCGTTTATTTCCTTCCCATCTTCAAATACTAAAAACTTTCTTTTCAAACCAGTATTTTTATAGTTATGTATTTGAAAGTTAAACTTTTCGGTTAATGAAACTTTTACTAAACTGCCTTGACTCCAGTTTCTTACAAGTATTAAACAAGTATTTCTCATAAAATATAGCCTAGTTCTTTCGTTCATCATACGTATTCTAACCGATTGGAGTGACATTAACCCTCTTACCTCTCCTTACTGGAGAATGATGGAACCAAATGATTTTTTACAAGCTATATATTTAATAAAGGAAATCTTTTTGGCATTAAATAACCGACAGTGTTGATATTCCGTTAAAACAGAACAATCAGTATTTCATTTACTACAAGGAAATTTCGTTCATTGTGTCGGGCTAGAAAATTTTTCTCACCTGAATTTATCTTACATATCTACAAGCCTACCATCCGTCTGCTTTGAATATTGCTGCCACATCTGATCTGGTGCTCCTGCAACATTTTTAGAGATTCTTGATAAAATACAAAAAAAGAATCCAAAAAAAGAATCTGCTATATTATTGGTCGTGACTTGGCATCTCGACTTCAGTTCCTTTCCCACCACTGTAACGTAGTTTCCCTGTGCCTTTTCTATAAATACTTTCATGGTAAGTAATATATTGGCGGAAAGGTCTCATCATTTTACAGTTGAAATGGATAGTTATAACCGTAAGTTCTATCTTAATAGTTTTTTCTAACGCATTTCTTGCTTGTAGCTTCTTGCTTCCCAGTCAACTTTGAGCATCAAAAATTTAAATGCAATGTTAATCATTATCTTCTGTCTATTAGTGACTTTATTGCCTTGCTTGTGTTGGATATCGGTTGAGGAAAGACCTTTGACGACATACCGGAAGAAGATGTAGTTACGTGAAGCTGCGCCGGACTCCAAATCTTATAAAACCGGTCAGATTCTTGTAGAATTCTCTGCCTCCGGGCGGAGAGGAACACAGACGAGAAGGGCAGAGTCTTGTTTGGGTGGTAGACAAACCCGACCCGTGTATTCGAGGTTTACGCGTAATTTTTGAACCATCCTACCAGCTCGAAAAGTGCCACGCTAAAAACTGACCTTGTGCCACATCTTGCCTTGTGAGGAGGTTATTAAATAGAGAGAGGATGGGTAGAGGTTCACCGAAGATTTGTTTCTGTCAATTCCTGTGTGCGCAATCCTAACCTCTGTGATTCTCCCTCATGCTACTCATTCACCGCAACTCGGACAATATATATATATATATATATATATATATATATATATATATATATATAGAGAGAGAGAGAGAGTGTGTGTGTGTGTGTGTGTGTGTGTGTGTCGCCTTATTTGAGCCCAGCTGCAATATACTACACTGAAACAAATATGTAATAATGTTGGGCAACCTAATGATGACAAAGGGCATAATCCCTCATGTTTAACATTATATTTTATTCAGTATCCGAACTTAGTCAATTATTATCAGCCAGTATGTGTTCTGCGCCAGGACCTTTTCTGAACGCGGGCTTTACCTTCTTGTGTGGAGTGTCTGAGAGAGGCTGTCTTTTTTTTATCTTCACTGGGGTCTGTATGTATATACCTGTCTCTGCCATAAGATCTTTCCACACGCGCGGACATATCGGGCGCAGCCGGGACGATCACGTGTATCCGATCATCATCTGAGATGATCCACTTTCTACATCTGAACTGCAGATACACAAGGATATATACGAATCAGGCACAGCTTATTTACTGGAAGTTCCTCAACGCATGTGTGTCACGTTATCGACCTCCGTTCAGTCGACATAAAGGTCAGTTTCGAAGCACATTTCTTAATAAACGAGCTCAATATGAAATTTAATATTGGGACATACAAAGATCTCATTGGAATATCAACTGTCTGAACTGGAAAAGTAAAACAGACTTGTGAGAGAGATCACAGTTATTCGTATATTATGAATAAACATCTATTCATCTACTCATTTAGTATAAATAACCATCTGTAGGCGAATTTCTTTATGTTGAAATTGGGTGGTGTGTTTTCTCCGGTTGAAGGAGTCCAAGATATGATGAGTACATTTAAATACAAAGTCTATTAATATTTAACTATTGTATGAAGTCAATAATTTTTCTGCAGACAGTTACATCCACTTACAGGTATTTTGTTGTCTTCACACTTGTCATCATCAGTAAATGTGTCAAATATACACATAATCTACGAGAAGAAATAACAAAGCTTTTTAAAATGTCTAACACTAAGCCATTTTATACATGAAGTCACTAGTATTTCATAACACCTACATTTATTCAAATGGAGATAGGCGAATTATTCATCTCTATTTAGTGTAGTATTCTGCTGTCGAAGTAGAAATAGATTTATATGTTAAAACAACCCCCATTATCTCCATAATTATTCAATATAGAGAATGTTATTAGCGTCGTCTTTGTCGAAACCCTTTGCCTAGTATTAGTCTGCTCAACGACATTTCCTTCTGTATAACGGTCTTATATTGTATCTGAAGAGACGTCTACAGCCACCGCGTGGTAGGGTAGTAGGGTTCAGGGGATGGAGATCTCTGGCTTTTCTTTAGTCTTTCTTCGTCTCTTCTATGCCTCTTCTGTTGTTTTCGAAGAATGTTGTTTTTTCGTGTACTACGCTTCTCCAGTTGGTTCTTTCTGTAGCTTCCGTCTCGCAATTGACCGGATGGCAGCAAGGTATTTTTGAGCTGATCCTTGAATCAACGACGTATGGCTCTACGTGGTCTCTTGCCAGATGCGACCTCTGAGAAAAGGATTTGTTTCGGGGGACTGATTGTGTTTTCGGGGAAGGTGTCCGGCACATCGAAGACGGTGGCTACTCATGATGGTTTCTAAGAACTTCTTTGCGCGGAGGACTTCGTTATTTGTGATTCGATCCTGCTACATGTTCCGCATGTTTTAACGAAGTTTCATTTCATGGATTCTTTCAAATTTGCATATATCTCTTCAATAGAGTACGCGGGTCTCAAATGCGTACAGGAGAGTTGAGATTACAAAACATTAAGCTTGGTGGTTTGTACTCTAGGACTGCCGAAGACTCTTTTGAATAACCCTCACCCCGTATGCAACGTGGGCGGCGTTGATTCTCTTTCTCTCTCTCTCTCTCTCTCTCTCTCTCTATCTATCTATCTATCTATCTATCTATCTATCTATCTATATATATATATATATATATATATATATATATTTATATATATACTGCGTCGATATTATTAGCCAGTTCATGTTTTATCGATATACAAAATAAATACCTACTCGAATCTAAAAGTTTATTTATTGAATGATGACGTTTTCTATTATTTGCGCAGTTAAGATAAAAAATAATTATTTGTTCTGCGCAGATGTATATACAAATGACAGCCATACGAAAGAAATCTCCTGAATATCGAATTTCCCTTTCTAGTCTCGATAGAGTCTAAAACGTCTCCATATACTTGTCAGTGATAAATTATTTATTACCCTACAATCCCTTTCTCAGACGTCGCAAAACTCCCACTTCTCTATCGCTATTTTCAAACTATGCTCAACGAACTACATTCCCTTAGTTCTACCAGCTTTGACCTTAACGGCTAAGACCCGCCATACCACTCACTCTTTCACTTTGTAATCCATTAGTTGAGATTTAAGTTACCTTCGAGCAGCTTCTTCCCACGCACCACTGTTTTGTGGAAATCACTCCCAAGTGGATACTTCCACAGTCACTACTTTCAAGTCTAAGATCAAGCGTTATCTTCCCCCACTTATCACCGTGTTTCTTACTCTGTAACCTTCTACCCCGAATTGATCTTGAGCATTGTAGATGGTGAACATCTTTGGCAGAAATCTCCGGTGTTTTACAATATTGATGTTTTAAATGTAACTTAAGACATATTTGTCGGATTTTCTTCTATGACCGTGTCCCTACAGGGCGTGGACGATCATAGCATAATTCCTTGTTCTTTGTAGCTTTTAGTAAAATGTGTTTTTTGCTGTCTCACCTAATCCCTGTTCTGCCAACCATGGACACATTAAATTTGTTTCATACCATCTAGTACGGCCGTAGACCAGTTTTATTAGTGCAAGATTTATCAAAGTCGAGTTAACCTTTATTGGGCTGGATCTTGCAACATATATATCCGATATTTATTGATGTATATATTACATCAAATGAGCCACAAGGTGGAAGAGAAAGGCTGGTTTTCATGTGTCCTACGTCTAACTTAACTAGTCTCAATAATTAACCTTATCTTCTGCTAATCTTCCATTCACCATAACGCCACATTCTTGCATATCATTCTTTACTACAGTCTCCATAATATTCACAAGTTGTTTATGAAGTCCGAACTCGTCGCCATATGTATTTTTGTTTGTTGGGATTTGACATGAAAATAACAATAAATATACCCAATGTAAATTTATAATTGTTGTGGATTCCGGGTTTAAAACCCGGTACCAAGAAATAACAAACGCCAGGAATTAATATATGAAAATAATGTTTTAACGTAATAATACAAACTGGCAAAGCAGGTTAGTAGTTCCAGGTATACGGGTTAGTAGCAATATATATATATATATATACAGTCTTGGTATTGAAGTATCGCTGTATTACTTCTTACTGAGTCTACGTACTCGCTCACTGTGACTCCTACAACGCTGTTACCTCACTCTCACTCTTCCGGTTACTTACAACCTTTTACTATGTCTCCCTGGACTCGAATCGACTCGACTCTTCGGTCTTGCTCTCGTCTTACTCTCGGGTCTTCCCGTAGCAGTAGTATATGTATACACTGGGTGAGTCCATTTGTATAAAAAGGGGTGGACCTCTCAACAATAATGAAAAAAAAAACCATTTACAAAAATTAAGTAAAACTGTAGTAGTAAGTAACCTCCCCTCCAATCTTAAACAGCGACAAAAATATCTGTTCGCCAAACAAAAATTATGCGGAACTATAAATATGAAAACATCCATTTAACTAACCACACATTCTAACAATTAGAAATGACATAGCAGAAATGCTAAAAGCGCCCTGCATCCACTAGAAAACTGATATAACGAGGTGAGTTGGTTTCATTTAGCGGCATATTAATCTGTGGCCTGCGGGTTACATTCGTCCCGTTTGTTCTTTCCTGAATGCCACGCTTAATAAAATAACGTTTCTTAAATTTTTATTTTATTTTGTTCTCAATTGTTCACTCACACATTCTCTTATACATAACTATGATTAATTATGTTTCTTGAATTTTGTAAAATTTCTGGCAAAGTAACGTTGTCAGTCAGCATTATTATACCATGTGAGATGTTCACCAAGGAAGATCACGAAACAGGAAACGTTCATAAGAATTTGTTCTCTAAAGAAGAAATGTATTCATTTTCAAATGAATATATTAGGAATAAATCCCACGCAGCGTTATACGATAATCACACTCTCATTAGTTATAATATTATACCAAAACTTCAATTTTTAATGAAAAAAATATTTTCCAAAAAATAAAATTTTCCTACCACTTCTAAGGTATATACTTATGTATATGGTCTTCTGTAACGAAACTAGCTGAGGTACCTACTACGAAAAATTACCTTGAATCCTTTTAGAAATAAGGCTAGCCTTGTAGTGAGCCATGGATCATGCGGCCCACTTGTTGAAAAACGTTGTCCATGCATGTTCTATAGGTTATTTGATGCCGAAATCTATATATTTGTAGTCAATTTGATTTACTTATCTTTGGTGATAATAAAGGTTTAGTGATAAAATTCTTACTAATTAAACCATATCTGTTGAGATAAGAGGTGGATTCATACCTTTCCCAAGGGCATTTGCGAGTAAGTGAATATAATGAACCCAACTGGAATTGGAACTTGGCTCTCTGATTAAAATTCCTGAGCCTTTATGCTTTCACGAGCCAAGTTTACAGCACCTGGTATTCCTAAGCAACCATGCATCACCTGGGCTTGATGTTTCTTAATTTCTTGTAGATAAGTTAATGTCGAAAATTAATTTTCTTGGTAGCTTGGTAATTTTTTTCAAAAATGTATTGCTGATATTTTTTTTACTATGAAAATGTATTACTGGTAATTTTTACGATGAAAATATAATGCTGCTATTTTTACTATAAAAATATATTTTTATATTTTCATAATGTCTTGGCCCATGTTTTTGGAGTTTACTATTTTCCCATAGCTGTGACGATAACAGGTGCTACCACACCGGGTCAGGATGAACCTGGGAACAACAACAATTAAGAGGAGGTTCAACATTCCACCGAACTTCCCGATCAGAGGTGTGCTGTCGGCTGAAGATTATTGTCATATCCAAGAGAAATGTAAAAGTAAGCTTAAGAAAACCTTTCACTCTCCATATTCGATACAAATGAATGAATTGGTGTATTCATGCAGGATTAGCTAAAAATAACCGCCGATATTTAACTTTTTGGTAGTCAGTTGATTGTTTGCCATTTTTATATGAGCAAACAAGAGAGAAATCAATGAAAAACTAGTTTAGCTAACCATTTGTTTGTAGACAGGGGGATTATTAAAGAATTGTAACAAGCTGTTTTTTTCATGTAATGTCCAAACATCGCGACCTCGTGATCAATACACAGCTGCAACCCGCCATGCACAGCGTAGCGCACACGCTCGCAGAGTTTGATATTAATTTCCTTAAACATTACAAAGATCTCAGCCTTCAGTTTTTTAATGGTGGGCTTTTCACGATACCCGGGAGCTTTCAGGAGATGCCGAAGAAAGAAATCTGGATATATGAGATGTGGACAGAGTGCCGGTCAATCAATCGATCTACTGTCCCGGAAAGATTTTCCTAAAACCACTGACGAAAGAATTAACAAAGAAATTCATCATCCGTAAAATAAATATTAAAAACATGACTTCCCAGTATTTTGACGCTACTATTGACCCACCACCAATGACAACTTGACTGATAGTGTTATTTTCTTGATTTTCTATTTATAATACTCTATTAATTACTGACTTATTTTTTTCTCCATAGGGACTTGAGTAAACAAAGACTGTCGTTCATATCCCAGAATTCCTTCAATGGCCTTCGACAAATTCGCGTTTTGTAAGTATATAGTAATGTATATTTTATTGTAATTGTGCATCACACACACTGCAATTGTATTGTCATATGTATATTGTAATTGTGTATAACACTGTAATTGTATTATATTATATTGTAATTGTACATCACGCACACACTTTAATTGCAATTGAATATTCTGTGTCACACATACACATACATACAAAATCTACACTCATAGATAGATATTCTCTGTTGATCCTCATAGACAGATAGATAGATTGTAGACATAATAACATTTCAAATATAACAATTGTTTAAGAAAAATTTTAATAGAAAATCTCTAAAAAAGGTATTCCTGTACTAGTATTATATACAGTAAAATTAATTTACACAATAACCTTTTATTAAAGAAATTTTATGACAGTGAAATACAAGAAACTAAACCTCCTTGTAATTGTAAAACCAGAGGTAACTGCCCAATTGGAGATATTTGAACTTTTGAAAATGTATTATGCGAAGCTACTATTTTTCCGAAGGAAAATGCCAGTCCAAGAAGGTATACAAAGCGATATTAACTGGGAGTTAACGGCTCTATCTAAACATTACTGGAATCTTAAAGATGGAGGCTTCACGTAAATAAAATGGAGGATTATCTGTCAATCACAGACTCTTAGCAAATTGAGGGACAGATGCAATCTATGTATTAAAGCAAAAATTATAATGATTAAGTAAAAAAGAAAAAGGCTGATGAATTTTTGAAGCAACAGAATGAACTTATCTTCAAGTGTAGACATGAGAACTTTTAAAATTCCCTAATAACATTAATTTTGGAGAATATTATACTTGAAATGTTGGATATTTTTTACTAGTACTAACATGTATTTATGCATACATTCGCGTTGTTTTTATAAATATGATCATTTAGGTGATCTTCTTGCCTGCATCGGTTATAATCGTAAATTATTATTTAATTCTATTCCCTTTATTCCTAATTTTATTATTATTATTTTTTTTTATTTTTTTTTATTTCTGGCGTTTACACATTTATTTCCGGGTCCCGCTCAGGGACCTAAGGTTAGAAATGGCATCATGACACTTTCCACTGAAAAAAAAAAAAGATTACATAGCCCTTCGTAAAGTGTGCGCTGTACTTGTCAGAACAATTTTTTGTATCTCCTTGTGGCATGGATTTCCAGGAATCCCTTCAATTAGTCTACTACAATCTTTTCCAACCAGTCCTAGAGCTCCAACTACAACAGGGATTGTTGATGTTCCGATATGCCACATTTTCGAGATTTCTATTTCAAGGTCCTTGTATTTTGACAGCTATTTGAGTATCTTCAAAGATACATATCAATAAGGAGGCACCGTTTTTGTTTGTGGTCTTTAATAACAATATCTAGGCGGTTGGCTTTGATTCTTCTGTCAGTGTGTATTGTGTAGTCCCATAGAATTGTAACAGGTCCTATCTCTGTAACCGGGTCTGGATGGTGTTCATAGCAGTTTCTTTCAGTTTCCTTCCCGTAGAAGTTGCATATTTTCCAGTGCAGATATTGGCTCGCTCTGTCATGCCGGGTTTTATATTCAGTGGGTGCCAATATCGTGCAACCTGATACAAGATGATATTTATCACAGAATCTGCATTTTGGGCTGACACAATATTTTAGTATATGTGCTTGATAATTCCTAGTTAGCAAGCATTGGTCTTGTGCAGCAAGGATAAAACCTTCAGGTTCAGCTTTCAACCCCGCACTACGTAGCCACTGATGAGTACGGGTTTTGTCAACGTCAGCTTGTTTGGTACGGGCATAGTATTGGCCATGAAGCAGTTTATCTTGCCATCGCTTCTGTATCTGGTCGGTTGCATTCGTCTTTGCTGTCTTTTTTTAAATATTTTGCAGTTTCAGCCGGTGTATTGTGCTGTAGTTGCATCTCTACGCCCATTTGAAACTCCATTTTGAATTTGTTGGCTTCTTTTATTAAGGAGAAAAGACGCTTACTACTTTCATTGACGGATACCATCATCCAGTCTTCTGTAGTTTCCAAATATCTTTGGAGGCCAATTATTGTAGTTTTGTAGGACAGTTCTAGTTGAACTAATCCCCTGCCTCCTTCGGATCTGGGCACATACAGACGATCAATATCAGCTTTGGGATGATGCATGCAAGTGAGAAGCTTTCTCGTTTTGGCGCCCATTCGCTTAATTAAAGCTGTATTGTACCACAGGGACAGCCAATGTGTTTATGACTGATATTCTGTTTTTTTGAGTTTAGCTCAGTATTTAGTACCAGACGTACACGCCTGAAGTACTCTTTCCTTATTTTTTCCTTCATTTGGGGGTGTTGTATGCCATCTCCTTCGCTAATTCCTAGGTACTTATAAGCTTCATCATGCTCTAGTTCCCTAATCTTTGTGACAAAATCTAAATCTTTTAAGGGTGTCTTTCTGTAATTCTACCTTTCTTGAATGTTACTTTTGCACATTTATCTAATCAGAAGTCTATGCCTATGTCGTCACTGAAGTATTTTACAATATTGAGGAGGCCCTTCAACTCATTGTCGTCTTTGGCAAAGAGTTTGAGATCATCCATGTAGAGTAGGTGATTGAATATTTTCTTATTTATTTTGTAACCATAGTTACTGTTGTTCAGTTCATGTGTAAGAGGGATTAAGGATAAACAAAACAGAAGGGGTGACAGAGAGTCCCCTTGAAAGATTCCACGTCGGATATTCAGACGGTTGGATATGGCAGTCCCCCCGGTGTGACTAAGGTATAGTTTGGTGTTCCACATTCCCATGCTGTGCTTAATGAAATGTAATACCACAGGAGAGACTTTGTACATTTCCAAAGTCTTAAGGATACAAGAATATGGAACACTATCAAAGGCTTTACGATAATCAATCCACGCTGCACTAAGATTTCTACGTCGTCTCCTGCAATTTTCCAGGATCATTTTATTTATCAGCAGTTGATCTTTGAAGCCATATGAACCTCTTCTGCATCCCTTCTGTTCCAGCGGAAGAATGCTGTTTGTTTCGAAAAAGGAATAAGTACGGTTCGTCAGTACAGACGTGATAAACTTATACGTTGTGGAGAGACATGTTATCGGTCTATAATTTTTCGGGTCGCCTGTTTCAGTTATTTTTGGTATGAGGTATGTAATACCTTCAGTAATCCATTCCGGGATTTTATTGCGATTATTTACAAGCGTTGATAATGTTTTTGCAAGAATTTCATGGGTAGATGAGAGATGATAAAGCCAGAAATTGGGCAACTTGTCATTGGGATTTCGTTAGAGCTTGCCTAACATCATCTGTGGATATATTTTCCCATTCTTGCAGAGGTGTATCCAGCATTCGTTCTTCTTCACACCGGATCCATTCTGCATTTGGGTTATATTCCTTTGGGCTGCTCCAAATATTTTCCCACAATGTCAGCACATTATCAATCGATGGTAGCCTTTCGACATGTATATGTGTTTTTCCAATTTCCCTGTAAAATTTCTTAAGATCAGTTCGGAATATTTTATTTTGGCGATAGAACCTACAACGTTTTTCGTATCGTCTTGTTCTCTGTGCCTTTAGCTGAAGTTTCTGCTTCAGCATTTCCTTGATTGATGGAATGTCAATTAGGGATTTAATGTTATATTTCCGCTTGATCTTTTTGCACTTACGTGTGGAAATATTAAGGTTTCTGGTGAGCTCATCTAATATAGAAAGCTCACATCTGATTTGTTTTATATATTTATATCTATGTGTGTATGGGTATGTATATGTGTTCATGGTTCATGTGTTCATGGATGGATGTGTGCATGTGTATATATGGCTGCATGCGTATGTATGTGTATATATATATGTGTGTGTTTATAGTTATGTGTATATTCATATGCATATAAATATATATATATATGTGTGTGTGTGTGTGTGTGCATGCATGTATATGTACATCTATATATATATATATATATACAGTAGCGGCCATAATATAAGGAACGGAAACAACAATGACATAAATATGTGTATTACTTAAAAAGTAATGCATGATTAGCAATGAATTTTTGCCGAATAAAGATTAGAGTGTAATGCATAAATATTATACAAAGTTACAAAAATTTACATAATAGTTTGTTTTTTTTTAAATAATGATTAAATGGAACAAAGGAAATAAGGTACTGGACAAAAGTTAAGGAACGTTCTTGTTAATACTTGATTGTGAACAAAATATCAACAAAATTTAATATTTGGTAAACATCCCCTTATTTTCAATGACTTCTGTGCATTGCCGACCACATGATCCAATTAATTTCTTGCAAAAATCAGCAGTAATTCCCTCCCATTCGTTTTTCAATAACTCCCATATGTGATCCTGGTTTTTCGGGTTTCTTTTCTGAGCCATTTCTCCAATTATCTTCCAAACATTTTCTATTGGATTCAGGTCGGGGATCTGGGCTGGCCACTTCATTAGGGCGATTCCTTCTTCTTCAAATAAAGCCATAACCTTCTGAGCCTTGTGGCAAGGTGCATTGTCCTGCATGAAAATAGGAGATTCATAAAAATTATGGTGTAATTTTGGTACCACCTGCTGAAGAAGCCTTTTGTAAGTTTCAGCATTGGTATTCCCATGTACGAGGATGATAGGGCCAACTCCTGCAGATGAAATCATTCCCCACACCATCACACTGCCGCCACCAAACTTAACGATTTTCTTGACACACTGAAAAGTACGTAAGTTTGCCCTCAGAACCAAATATAGTAAACTTGGACTCGTCACTGAAATGAACTGTATCCCATTATGCGTCAGTCCAAACAATATGTTCTCTCGCATACTCCAGGCGTGCCCTTTCGTTTCGCTTTGAAATGAGAGGCTTCGAAGCTGCAATACGGGCATCGGTCCTGCATTTTTTAACCTGCGAGCAACCGTTTTCCTTGAGATCTTATTATCTGTCTCTTCATTAAATTTACGGGCAATTGATGTAGCAGTTTCAAAACGGTTTTTTTGTAGATATTCTAACAATTCTTCGATCTTTTCTTTGCGATGTTTTTGAGGTCTGCAGGTTTTTGTTTTTGCATCTAACGTTTTATCAGTTTTATACCTGCTAATTACACGATGAACGACACTTTTAGACCTATGAACAATATCAGAAATCTTTGAAATTGATTTTTTTCTTGATAGTTAGCGATAACGAGTTTTTTTTTCTTCAAAAAAGAGCGTTTTGCATGTAGAATTTGCCATATTGCTTAAAAATAAAGTCCTAATGATAAATGAACTTTTACTTATTGTTGAAAAGCTCGATCGAGTTTTTTAACAATGTAAATTAAAGTTTATGCAAATTATTAACATCGTTCCTGAACTTTTGTCCAGTAGCTTATTTCCTTTGTTCCATTTAATCTTTATTTTAAAAAAAAAATATTATGTAAATTTTCGTAAGTTTGTATAATATTTATGCATTACACCCTAATCTTTATTCGGTAAAAGTTTTATTGCAAATCATGCAATACTTTTTAAGTAATACGCATATGTATGTCTTTGTTGTTTCCGTTCCTTATATTATGACCGCTACTGTATATATATATATATATATATATATATATATATCTTTCAATTTTTAAGCTTTTAGTTACTTACAATGCTATTTCTTTATATTGATGTCAAATATTTTATTATTATTATTATTGTTATTATTATTATAAATTTGTAATTATGATGGTTATAATGCGATGATGATGGTTTCGCTGCTTAAAATGACTAGACAATTTCAATGTATCTATTTTGAATATGATCACTCACTTACCCCAACCTGTTTTTTAAATTCCCTCTTTCCTATCTTTCACTCTCTCACTATCTTCTTTCCCTTCCCATTTCTATCACTCTCTCTCTTCCCCTCAAACCATTATATTGTGAAACTGTCTTTCTCCCCATCTTTTCTTCCAACTTTCTTTCTTTTTTCTCTTCTTTTCCTTGGTCTGAAGAGATGTACGTTTGAAGTCAACGAACTAAATTATTACCTGACCTAATAGATTTTTAAGGATTTTGTATTCATTATATATATATATATATATATATATATATATATATATATATATATATTGAAATATAGAAAATATTAATCAAAAAAGATCTATATAGGAATATCTGCAGAAAATTGGAAACAGCGGTACTACAACCATCGCCATTCCTTCCGAAATGAATCCCAAAGACACCAAACAGCACTATCGAAATACTATTGGAATCTGGTAGAAAACGGCTTCACCCAACAGTGAAATTGAGAATAATCTGAAGAGATCAGACTCCCAAAAACTTCAAAGACCGATGTGACCGCTGTATAAAAGAGAAAATCCTGATAATCAAGCATAGTGATCCTGATGAGTTTCTCAACCAACACGATGAGATGATCTTTAAATGCAGACACAGAAATCATCTCAATATAACTATCTACATATAAAAAAAACCTGTCCATTGAAATTCTGAATGTCTAAATGATCAATATTTGAAATAATACCCGATGTCTTTCCATACAAACACTATCAGTTATATAATATATATTCAGTTTTATATGGGCATATATACATTGATATACATACTTACATTTAGGCTAGTATTTATAGGTATCCATATGACAATTACAAACATATACATATGTTGGCTTATGTAAAATTAACCGGTTGGTTAAATCATTCACTTCAGTAAGACAAACATATAATTAATTGTTTAATTTTTTACGGCTTATCAAACCGGTGTTGGTTATTTAAATCCGAAGCCTATTATTCATTATTTGTTGTATCTTTTGTTTTTGGCGATAGGATATTTCATTATTCTATATAAAAGTCCTACTATTTAACCCATAGCTGGGAGGAGGAGATGAAGCCAACATACAAAGATCTGGAAATTGTAATCCCCGCTCAAAAAATTCCCCCCTTCAGCCAAAATAAACCAAATGAAACCATAATTTCTATCGTTAATCCGAAATCACCGATGCTTGAAAAATATAGATCGAAGGAAAGCTCAGAAATTAAAAAGCAACCGACGCCTTTGGGAGAAACAACTTGAACTTTGACTTAAAATAATTGTTTCTTAAATAGAGGTAATCGTGTATTTGATGATAATGTTAAATGATGTTGTTGCTGCTGCTGCTATCGAATTAATATTGTGTTTTCACCCAACGTTTTCCATTTGTTTCTAGAAACCTTTCCAATAACGAAATCACAAATATTGAGGACGGTTCCTTCAATGGTCTAAAACAGCTATTAACTCTGTAAGTACCAGACATTACCTTTTCATTTTCGTTTTTACTTTTGATGTGTTCCTAGAGAGATACATACGAAGTCGGGAGCTGAAAAGTTCATAGACTGACTATGAATGAGTGACTCTAGAACTGTGAAATCATGCATGCATTAATTTAAACTCTTCTTCTTAATATCTGCATTGTTTTTGTCCAGGTAAACTGATATTTGACTGTTCAAAGAAGACTTCAAATATTACTAGTAGCGACTTCTCTTGAAAATGCACAAAATTTGGCATCGTGGTGTTATCAAGTACCTGCAGGGTTTAGATCCCAAGGACATCCATGCTACCATGATTGCTACATTAGGGATGACACCCCAGCTTTATCCAGTGAAAAAGTGGACAGCTGAATTTAGGAAGGGAAGGGGGAGTCGTGAATATGACACAAGATCTAGACATCCTGAAACACCCACCACTGAGGAAAACATTGATTTGGTTCAGCACATAGTAATGGATGACAGACTATTGTTTATAACACAAAAATATATGGCAATGCTATTATCATATGAGAGAGTTAAGAATATTCTGCATAATGAACTTTGCATAACGAAGGTTTTGGATCGGTGGTTTCCACGTCGACTGACACCTGGTCAAGAGCGCACCAGGTTGGTCACATCACGTCAAATCTTACATTCTTTGCGACAAACCCAGCTTGTTTCTTAATCCAAGATGAGGGTTAGGTTCATCACATGGAGCCAGAGACAAAGTTGAAATCCATGGAGTGGAAACACTCCTCCTCACCTGCTACTAAATACATTCTGTTGTTTATTGACTATCCTCGAAATTGAATTTGGCCCGCCGACTTTACTTTCTACGCTGATAACATTTACACTACCTGCGCATCAAGTAGTACCATGTGTTTTAAATAAAGAGTAGTTTCCCTTGTTAACAAACTTCGCACGAGATGGCATTTATGCGTTCAAAAATTATGTATCCGTTTCGTTTCAGTTTACAGAAAGAAAAAAAATGCAATGTAAAATTATAAAGTGATCGTTTGGTAGTACGTTAATTACGCTACTCACAACTCATTTTTTGTTCCTTCTTATAGAACCTTGATTGAAATCTTTATAAAACGAACAAAGTAACCAGGTCGGGTGCAAGAGTTTCATGTCCGCACCGAATCTAAGATACGCCTCCAAACACAAGTTTCATAATGTATTATTCATATACAATACAAATTTTCTGTCCTGGGTATGACGGTAAACGACATCCACGTCCTGAGTAAAACGATAAACTACATCCAACAGTAAGGCCTCCAACCAGGAGGCTTTGTGGAGCGTGGGACCATCTCTTAATTGTTGGTGTTCGCAGGTCCACTCTGACCCGGGGTGGTAGCACCTGTTAGGGTCCCAGGTATGGAGAAATAGTTAATCGCCAAACTAGTGTCAAAACACTATGAAAGTGTAAAAATAAGTTTTAATCCCAGCAATAAATTTTTTAAACATATTACCAGCAATGATTTTTTGAAAGAAAAAATTATTGTCAGCAATACATTTTTGGAAAAAAATATTACTAGTAATTAATTTTTGAAAAAATATTACTAGTAATAAAAATCTTGTCGGCATTAAATAAGCCATTTAGGTTGATATGCTGTAAGACAAAGCAAAGCAAACCAATACAAAATTTATTGTAACCTTATTATGTGCAATAATGGATCATATAAAATATAGGTGAACAATTCAAATAGGAAAACTAAAAATAAATACAATGTATCTAAATACAAATTAGAGACATGTCATAATAGATCATTACATCGTAATAACATCCTGGGTGTTACGATAAACTACATCCATGTCCTGAGTAAGACGATAAACTATGTCCAACAGGAAGGCCTCTGATCAGGTATTTTTGAGGAGTTTGGAATCACCTCTGAATTGCTTGTGTTCCCAGGTCCACCCTGACCCAGGGTAGTAGTACCGGTTAGGGTCCCAGCTATGGGCAAATAGTTAACCCATATACTGCGTTCAAAACACTATGAAAGTGTTTTAATACCAGAAATACTTTGTTTTGAAGAAAAAATATTACCAGAAATAGGTTTTTTAAAGAGAGAATACTCCCATAAATAAATTTTTTGCAGGAAAAAAAATATTACCAGAAATACATTTTTGAAAGAAAAAAAAATATTACCAGCAATAAAAGTTTTGTCGACATTAAATAAACCATTGAGTTTGATATGCCGTGAAACAAACCAAACCAAACCAAACCAAACCAAACATCTTAATAAATCCAGAATTTTGCAGCAATTTTCAACACGAACTTGAGAGTATTCTTGTTAAAACGTTGAATAATATTAACACATTCGATATTAAAGAACAGTGAATAGTGTTTTTCGAGACTTAGCTTGAGCAAAAAAAAAAAAAATCACAGAGTTGGACAAAAGAAAGACCCCAGAAGGACATTAAAATCCATGAAAATGTTTCATCCTTTAATAATTCAGTTGTACTTAGTTTAATTTGTAACGTATATAAATGTAGGTAGAAAAAAGCAAATGTTGATAAGTTAGCAAGTGTCAAAACACTGCCCGGGGCCCCAAATCAGGCTTGCACTTCGGGTCAGAGAGTTCGGAGGTAGTACGCACCGGCCTTGAAATTAGCTATTTCACGGAGAGATTTTTATTGTTAATTACCTCATCACTGTCTAGCCTCGAAAGCGTTCAAAAGCGCTTACGCTGCATCATGGATGATGAATTATTCTGCACCCTGCAACCATTATCCCACAGACGAAATGTGGCCAGCTTTAAGCTGCCATAGCCTAATTACTATGGCAGATGTTCCAAAGAGTTACATTCCTTAGTACAACTAGCTTAGACCTTCACAGCTAAGACCCCCACCGTTGTATTCACGGTAGCAAACCATCAACATTCTCTTCGTGTTCCCCCTGATAAAAATCAAGTTCCAGAGACAGTTTCTTCCACAGAACTGTTACTTTGTGGAACTACCTCCTAAGAGAATGCTTCCCTGACAACTAAAATCTTGGCCTCTTTATGTCCAGGGTCAACCAGTATCCTACTCTTTTTGATAATACTCTCTTACTTCCCACTCTCTTACAATATCACTCAGTAACCCTCTGCCTTGAGTGGCCCTTTGGCTTTATATTGTGTGAATTATCAGTAAATTTTTATAAAAAACGAAGAATTTTGAAGGATAAATATATAAAGTCTGCTAAATTTATATAAATAAATATAACATATATTCGAGAAATATCGTTTGTGCATATCAAATATTTGTTGAAGACCGAAACAAACCTCGTCATAAATGAAACCGTGGAAAAAAAAAATTCTATTTTAAAATCGTTTTTATTTAGTTACCTATACTTGTAGATGTACAGACTTTTTTTAAAATTCAATGCACAATGGTGGATGATCCATCACGAAGGATGCTCGGAAATTACCGGCTTCTAGTAAGGCTCCTGAAAATAACTGACTACATTTGACATCATTTAACTATATAAGAGTAAGATTAGACAAAATAAATGGCGTATTACTTCCATATCTGCGTTCGAGTTGCCCAATCCTCACAGCCTTAATAGAGTTCAAAATTGTCTACGCCGTCTGGTAGAGGATGACTTATTTTCAATCCCACAGATACAATGTCACAAGTCTATCGCTGTGTAACACTGTTCTGTTACACCCACGTAGAAGAGTAAAGTCGGTTTCTGTTTTATGGCCTATATATTTTTTATGTTGAGTTTTACAATTGACCGAACATAGAGTGTATCCGGTTGCTTAAAAGCCGTAATTCCGATAGTTCTTGCAGTTCCGATACCTTCTGTTCGTATTGCCATGGATGTGTAAATGGTCGGAGAGTTAGTAAGATTAAGACCTGAACTATTAGAGTGATCTAGCAAACGTTGTCCCCGGGTGTCACCTGCCTGCACACCCAGACAGAGAAAGTGAAGGTCTGAAGAAAAATATCAATTTTATAATAAGGGAATCAAGGTTCATGTTATCATTTCTCGACGTGGCGCAAGTTTTCATCTTCGTTACCTTGTGAACATACGGTGGACTTTTCCCAGTCTTTGGGGGCACATCGACGTGAACGAGAACGGTGACGCAACGTGGGGTAAATGGGGTCACTGACAACTGCTGTGTCGTGGAAACTTCTGAGAGTGTTGCGTTGAGCTCCATCTTTAGTCCCGCTAGTTCTTACTTTTACAGGGAAGATGTAGCATGGTACTTTCACTGATTCGAATTACTCTTATTCCCATCCCGTATCCCATTTATAAGTTGCATGTTTGGAACAGACTCCCACGGATGCTACCGAAGACACTACACTAATAAACTGTTCAGGTCTAGTGTCAATCGATATATATCCAACTTATGCTCAAAATGTTCACTCCCTACATTCACCTCTTATATGCATATCAGATATCTCATTATGTTACCCCAAAACTTGAGTTGCTCTTGAGACTTTAATGGGTGTATTAGTAAAAAATAAAAAAGTCAGGTTACATAAATAGTTTAACTATGTTTTCCAGATGTCTCAAGGATTTTCTATTAGTGTAACTACTTTTAGAGTGATTTCATACGTTGCTATTTATTCCCTGAATATATATTACAATGCATACATTTCATTTTTTCATGCTTTGAAGACGTCCACAGGGATGAGTTTCGTCGAAGATAGAAAAATGAAAATTCTCGGATTAAGAAGAGAAAAACAGTTAGGAACGTTAGGATGAAATGCTGCTAACGGCTTTTGGGAAAATTTTACCCCCACCCAAAAAAACTCTCTTTTTGTGGAGTGCTTTATTATTTGCAACTATATATATATATATATATATATATATATATATATATATATATTCTCTATTATATATTTTCTTAAAAAATATTAAAACAAAGAAAATATTGAAAGAAAGAAAGAAACGTCCAAGAATACCCGAAGAGGGTGACACATTTTCGAATGAAAGAAAGAAGGAAACGTCGGAGAAGGTAAAAGTTCCTAGAAAGAAAGAAAAAATAAAGAAAGAACG